CATTCCATGATTCCGCTATATGGCTGATACCTTCCCAACTGTATTTACTATAGGACCTTCTCCAAAAAACCAACCATGCCTTCCTGGGGAAAGGCCAAAATCTTCACTAATCTCAGAAAACAAGGGTCACAAAACACCCTGCAGTCAATTTGTTGGCCCAGCTTAGGTGACAAACTCTTGTTTTTCTAACTTCAGTTGGAGGGTACTATATGACTGTAAAGCCCTTGGTGTGGCTGCCAATCTTACATTTTTTGGTGTTACCTACGTATTCTATTTGACTTGATTATGGAACAAATCAAATACTTTTTCACTAGATTATGTTTTCCACCTATTTCTGTTGTCACAACAGAACACAGAAACACATTATGAAGTCTGCTTTCCATTTTAACCTTCACAAAAACTCAAAGCCCAACATATATTTTGCCTTGTTTCACTACCGAGCATGGGGATGAGGCAGTGCACACAGCTACATGGCATTCTGATAACAACCTTGTCATCCTTGCCCAAGTCTTCAAGAAAAGTGAGGAATCATTACAATCTTCTGCTGCAATCAACAGGACTCAAGTATGAGTCAAGTGAATTTTTTTTTGTTTTGACGGTATTTTTTTCTTGTTGAGAATTGCTCTAACTCGACAAAGCGCTATGTGAGATGTGTGCTGGACACAAGTCTCCTGAATATCTCAGTGTGTTTTTGTTTATCTTGCAATATTACGTATGGAGCTTTAAGACTCACATCCAGCATGCTGATGTTGATTTTCTCCTCCTCTGAATCGAAAGGGAGAATGGTGCTGAATGCGCTGTGGCTGAAAACTAGCAAATTTAAATGTCTTTTCTCCCATGACATACAGGTAGGTGGATTTGTGTATTTCTTTGCAAGGAGGTGTCATCTGCCCCAGTTTATGTTATATTTTCTGACTTGGTTGGGCACATGTCAGTTTTGTTATCACCGTCCCAAAGCTGTGTATATCATGATGTTATATAACCAAATTTGGTACATACTGGAAGTAGTAAGCCGGAGTTATTGGTTTAGAAACGTGCTGACAGAGATCAGCATCTGGCATGGCTGACTAATTACAGTGTAAGACAAGGGGATATGGGCTAAGCTCTTGTTTCTGGACCAGTGAAGATACCTACTCAGTGGAAACTCCATCAGCCCCCTGAGAGGGAGAAGTGCTCTATGATCTTTGCAAGCAGGCCCCAGAAGAAGCCTTTGAAAGGGATGAAAAAGAAAAGAACAGGGAGGGAAGACAGAAACATGTGAGACAGCATGAGGATAAATGTGGAAAAAAACCCTTAGCAAGTTGTATTTCCTGAAGAGAGCTATGGTCTTATAGTATATACAGTTTCTAAGGGCTGAGCCAAGCTAATTGTTTCTGACAGCAAACAGTTGTTCGGAGTAGTTCCTAACTTCACCAGGAATACTTTGGTACATACATATACTCCCAATAGCCCTAAAAACTGATTCTATGTGTTTTTTTCCAAATGAAAACAGAACTCCTCAACAAATGTGCTTCCTCAGATTAGGTATTTGCCAGTAGTGTTTACTTTGCACAGGCCATTAGTGGACTCTTAATACAGGCTTAAGGATCCTGTGGCAGGACTTACTCCAAGTGCTAGCAAGAAGCAGCACAACTGCGTGGTGTTTTCAGTGTGCCTGTGGTTTGCTAACCACAGTATTGGACACCAATTGCCAACAGCCCCCACGATGAACTGGAGCATGCTACCCACCTCCTCAGATGCCCTCAGCACTGCAGTCCTGCTGTATGGTGCTGCTCTTCCATGCAGCAGCATGCTTGATACAGAAAGCACACTGATTTGACAGCTATTGTAAACACCCTATAGCCACAGTAAAACACAGCTGTTTGCATCTACTCAGAGAAAGAGCTTGTGTTTGTTATGGTGGTGACTCTACCCTGTGTAAGAGTGAAGTTATTGACACCCAATGGACTCATTCATTACTAGATCTGTGCCCTTCATTTAAAGCCAGCAATGCGCTTCAGGTTGGAATTTTCCAAATATACCTTTGACAACCCAGTTCTGAGAGCCCAGGGGAAGACATGTGACTACTTTGCTAATTGATGCTGATACACCAGGGAGAATCATCACTGTCTACAGCAGAATTTTCCCTTAAAGTGGACTAGGTCTGTTGGAAGGCAATTGCACCAGGCCAAACTAATTCTCATAACCAGACCTTCTTTCATTACACATCCACAACAGTATTACTACAGTGGGAAAACTATGTACTCCGATGTTTGAGGAGATCAGTACTGAAACAGCATGCATCAATTTAATTTCAGCTGCCTGTGTATGCGTCTTGCACAGCTTCAAGCCACTTGGACCTAGCTGATAACCTAGTTTGGCCTCCTGCATAATCGTAGACATACATTTATTTCCTTCTGGTGGGGGACTGAACATACTGTGCTCAAGAACATGTATTTTTAATAACAGTACAGCTAGTACTTGGCTAATATATACATTTCAGAAAAGCATCCAGCCTTCTTCTGATGGCCTGGAGGAGATGCAGAATTTACCACTTGTTACATTATATTCTCAATTGCATAAACCCAGTCTTAAATTCTCCATGGGGACTGTTTCATTCAGTACACAGGACAAAAATCACTTAGCTAGCAGCCATTCAATATTTTATTTTTGCCCTTTTTGTTTAAGGCATAGCCCTAAAAGCCTTGTTTACTGCACATTATTCCATCTCTGTTCTGGAGGCAGAATGATTAATTTCTTTACAGGCTTTTCTATAGTGCTCATCAGATGCTTCTAACTTGTTATGTGCAATTTCCTAGCTTTTGGAAAAGCATACAAAGGAATGCCATTATGTGGTATCCTATAACTACTGCCATGATTCATACCAGCAGGGATAGACCAGACCTTTGCTATCTTAGCTAACAGGTATAAACCACAGGCCGCCAGCATGGCCAACCTAAAGGAGATGAGGCACACGCTTAAACAAGTGATTTTCACTGATATTTGCTGGCATCAGGATGGGAAGATTCATAATTTTAAGGAGACTGAAGGCTGTGGGGTGGAAGTACTCTTACAGGTTCAAGCTCCTTTGTCTCTCTCACAAGACCAACCCCTTTAATTCATCCTTTCCAACATGCCCACCCCTCAACCCACATGTCTCAGCCTGGTTCCTTAACCCAGTCTCATTCTTATCTATCTAGTTTTATCCAGTGTTACCTATCTTATTGTATCTTATTTTCTATCTATCCTTATTTCTCTCACTTTGTTATTGAGTTTATCTTTCCTCTTCCCTACTTGCTTATGGACTGAGTCTTTGCCCCCAAATTGCCCATCTCACTTTTTCACCTCTCCTAAATTTTACTCCCATCCCATGACTAAGAGATGATGGAGCTTACTAGGGTTTGAGGTGAATGAGCATTCACAAACTCCTTAGAGGTTTCAGAAATACCTATCTACTAAGCACATATAATTTTTTTTAAAAGGTTATCACTTGGATAACCTAGGAATGATTTTCTTAGTAATGGTAAAAAGCACATTAATATGTTACAAAGACCACCATTCCTGACAAAACCTGGCGACACTGAAGCACAGAAAAGATGTCACAGAAGCCTTTAAGTTCTCATCTTTAGCCTCATTTTCAGAAACAGTTAAGCCAAGTTGGGTGACATTTTCCAGAGGAAACTGGTCCAGAGCAGATGTGCATCTCTGAAATTTTTATTCCAAATGACTACAGTTTCAGAAAATTGCAAGCAACTGAAATGGGAAGACACAGTATGTGGTTCTGCCCATAAAATAAGACAAAAATGAAAGCTATTAGAATCATGTTGGCATCTAATGATGGCTGCTCTGATATCTGTGACTCGTCTCAAATCATGACACTAACTGAGCAAAGAACGTCATTCTGTCTTGCCAGGTTTTTACCAATTTTGTAAAGGTTGGATCACAACAAAGTAATATTATTGTCCCATATAAGCCTGATATGTGCACGGCTGTGTTGTAATCTTCTTCCAACATATGCAGTAGCTATTCATTTGCTGGCTTTGCACTGAACATTCATTATTACCAGATATCTCATCCTTTGCCTCTAGGTTCTACTATTTTCTCTCAATTATAAATTCACTTTACATTTGTCCTCTTGTGCACTGATACCCCTTCAGTTTTAGAGTTGTCTGCAAACCTCATCAGTACCAAATTTATGCCAGGAAATACAAATCTGCTAGCAAAGACAAAAAACAGTCACATGGATACAGAATTCCTGTAAAAATTAAATTAGTCAAGAAAGACTTCTGAAATCCCAGAGAGACATAGTAAGGGCTACAGTTAACAAGACACGTCATTGATGAAATATGATTAACTGTTCTGATTTCATAAGAGAAGTGGGTTTTGGTCTTCCACAAAGTGCCCTGTATGATGATGATGATGATTATTATCATCATTATTAATTAAACTCTAGGCCCTGTGTCCGTAAATAAGTTTGTTTTGGGGATGGTGCAACAGAAAAAACACTTGCTGGATAGGAGTTATCAAGAAAACCCCACAACTATGGAGTCACTGCCCCTGCACAAGGTTGGAGCTGAGCCGCAGCTTAGGAAAATAACAGATTGATTTTATCGTAAACTCATGGTTTAACTTAATTTGATTAGACAAGACTCCAGCTCAAGGTTTACAAACCCCATATATATCTATATTCTATAGTTATTTAGTTCAGAACTTTCAAACATCAGTGTAATGCTTATTTGAAACACATAACAATAGGAAAAGCAGCAAAGACAAAGTAGTGAACCGACTTCCAAAAACATCAGACTTTGTCAATTAAACTATTTGCTTTTGACATAAGTCCTAATTAGTTAAAAACATTCAATCCTGTCTTAAAATAGAGGTTCAAGCTACCCAGTTTATTTTTGGAACAGTCACTTGCTCTCAGGATTAGGAAGACAATAGCATCCAGAGCAAGCATGAGCCCTCTCCCCTCTTATTAGGAACATAAATACTATAATGGAGCTGAGCTCCTGCAAACTCACCAGGCTGTGCATAATTTCCACTCCAGCTGGATTCACTGTGAGTGCTTCATCATACAATTGCCTAGCCTCCTCCAAATTGCCTTTCATCTCTGCAAGCCTCCCACGCATGTACAGTACAGCATGAGATGTGGGGAAAAGACCAGCTGCCTCCTGGATACAAAAGCCTGCTTCTTTGAGATGCTGTTGTTCCATGAAGAGTTCAGCTGAAAAAAAAAGAAAGAAAACAAAAAACCAAAACCCACCTTACCATTAGTAGAACTAAGTCAGAAACCTTTCTTCACATTAATTACATATCATATTCCTTAAGCATATTAAAACATGAGGCCATGATCCTGCACAGTGCTATTACAAGTGGATTAACTGAAAGGATCTTTTTTTAATGCTAAGATGTTCATGGACATCTTCAGGTGTTGCCCTGAGAGAGAACGGCCTTAAGGATTCCTCAGTCGGGAATGTAAACAGTGCTGAACTGAGCCCTAAGGAAGCAGGGCTGGTAGCCACTTGGAACCATCATATGTATTTCCAAATAATCTGGGGAAAAAAAAGAACAGAATAAGCCATCACTGTCTACTGAGAACTTTAAACATGTCAGAATAATAGGATACATCTGACTGAGCTGGACATTAGATAACTTTTTTAGAAGAGTATGTCCACATTTTAAAAGATGATTAAAAGTGTTTCTCTCTGCTTATTTGTCTAGTTTATGAGATAGCAGTCTCTTAACTTTTCAGAGACTTTTATTAAAATCAAAAGGCTTGTATCATAGAGACTTATTTATATTGTTTATTCACAAATTTATTTCCTCATACTTACTCTACAGAAAAACAAGAGCGCGCTCTTGGAAGAGACTGCTCAGTCATTTACTTTCTTCAACTATCAGCAACTATCTTAGTGGTTTTCTTAGAAAAAAGTAACAAGCATACTAATGTGCTTGACTGTCAATCAAATTTGTTAATCAAATAATTTCTCATGTTAAATATAAATTTCATAACATATCTCATGGTTAAACTCTAACATTTCTCAGGATTTATTATGCATCAAATCCTTGCAAAAGGCTTCAAAAGTGATACTCAGTTTTCACTGTTACATGTAACTGAAAGGGAAACTTTTTAGATATATATCTCTAAGTATGCATGCATGTACATATATAAAATAATTTTTTCTCTTCATACAGCAGCCATTGCTGTTTGGTCCATATCCTGTTTGTGTTCTCCATGTTATCACTGTAAAAACTCGAAGTCTTTTTTTTTAAAACTGATGTGGTAATGCAGTATGTGTTGACAGCACAACAGTCCATTTCGAAATGACTAATTCAGGCTCCAGATTTAGAAAAATAATTCTGAAATTAGACACAACCTTAAATGCCCTGACTTTTAAAGGTAGCAAGTATTCTCAGGAAGTCTCTGTGAGGGGGGAAATTATCTAGAAAATTCCTCTTAAATAGCTTCGAAACTCTTCCAGTTTCAAAATCTTGCAAGACCCAGATGACTGTGAGGGCCTGGGACGCTGACATGGAGCTTGCTGTGTAGAGGTGAGCAGGAGAACATCTCCAAGGCAGTCCTGCCTGACCATGCAATGGTTCCTCCTTGGCCTATCTGACATGCAACTAGGACCACAAATAGCACTTCTATTAGCACACTGAAAACGATCGTGTACTGAAACGACAGCATGCCTGAACACTATTCCACTTCTGAAGTGGTCCTTCTAGAAGAAGAGTGAGACATTGTTGAGAAAATGCTCGAATAATTCTTAGCCATCCATAGGCTGCATTACAGATAAATGTCATACTCCAAGGCTGTCAACACGAGCAAAACATTAGTTCCTTAGTAAGGACTATACTCTTCAGGACTGACTCATACACATTTCCCTCTGCTTAATCACTACAAAATCTCAGCACACATCCTTTCCCTTGGCTCCAAGAGGCTGCAGCTATCTGTAATAACAGAAAGCAAGGCCTTGTACCTTCTCAAACCGAGTATATGCACAGCCTTATTCAAAAGTTTATGGGAGGATAGTATTGTACTTGCATGTCCCAAGGAACAGAGCATGTTATTGCCAAGTGGCCATGCATGTGGTAATAACGAGGATGGGGATGTGCAAAGTGACGATTCGCAGCCTGAAGGTAAATATTTCATTTGCAAAGTTAGCATAAACTTAGAGGCACAAAAGCAGGGCTGAAATCCTGGCACTATTTGAAGTCAGCAGAAGTTCTGGATGCTGCCATATTAAAACCTCTATTAGCAACTAACAGCATAACGTGACTTGTTTCATTTCAGAGAAGAATTGGGAGCAAGGGAGTTTATATGTGAAAACATGCATAGACAGTGTTTCAATGCATACAAAATGGAGAGTACTTATTTCTTCTTTCAACGGTGCCTGTAAATCTTCTTCAGTAATAACAATTATTTAGAGGAAGTGCAGCAACACAGAATCTAAATAAGATCTACAAATTGTATTTTATGGTATGGTAATGTACCATATTAAAGTTCAGTCCGTTTCTTTGCATTTCAGCATGATTTAATAGTGTGGGAGGCCTAATCTGCATAAAAAAAGAATGAGAGGGGTGCCTTTAGGTTACAAAAGGAAAGGAGTGCACCCACCCATCTAAAAATAGAAAGGGAAATCATTTAGGCCTGCATTTAAAAATGTTTTCTGTAAACTAATTTTTCACTTCTATTACATACTCATTTCATTTACAGATTAACAAGATACGCTTATGCAACATGGAATAAAAACACAGGTAGAGGCAGAAATCAAAACCAAAAAACAAGGACTGATTAAATTTATCGAGGTAATATTCCTGCCTCCTCAATGGTACTAGAAGTAGTGAAACACCTGCCGTTGTGTTACCTGGGTTAGCAGCTTCCTTTCCACTGGATTATTCAGCATATCTCCTTGTATCATCTGATCATACTGTAAATAGACATCTAACCAACTAGCAGCCCTTGCAAGGAAGTTCTGTTATAGAGACACAGCACCCGATTCCACTCCAAAGCAGAGGGTACCTCCTCAAGCTGACACAGGTAGAGAAGATCTGTAATTCTTATCCTGTGAAAGTTTCAGTGCTTCGGGGAAATAACTAATGGACTGTATCGTTCTTGGCACTGACATTCTTCACAGCATTGAATCCAACGGTCACATTTGCAAGCTTCCTTGTTTTCTATCAATTAACACTATTTTTATAAAAACTTAAACAAATGTATGCTCTGTTTACAACCAAGTACCACCAAAGGCTCACTGAATGCTGCTGAGCAGAAATGATAATCCTTGATGTACTACCTCCTGTATTAGCCTCTCTGGAGAAATGCTACAAACTCTGAGTGTGGATGATTATTAGGAAATATTTCAGCATTTATAAAAATGCTATGGGCTGAGACAGTGCACTGCATGGACAGGCAAAGACAGGATGAATTGTGCGCTGTCCCCTTTCATTCACTACTTGCAGCTTGAGCTTGCACCCACTGACACCAGGCGCAGCTATCCAGCTGACTCCAAGATCCAGCCTAGTGTGACTCATTTCTTTCCCATATCCACCTTATGCTTCCCATCCGTGCTCTCTTGCAGTACTGTCCAGCCTTCTTTGCTCTTCTTCTAAACAACTGACATCTTCTCTTGCAGCTATGACCTCCTTTGTCTTGATTTACAACTAGACTTCCGCCGATACACCAGTTTTAATGCTGGGCCCCATCCCTGAGAGTGGCCCGCAATCACCACTCAGATTATCATTAACTTCTAATATGAGCGCCTAGTTCGTCCAGCTGTTTCCACTAACATTTAAGCTCATCTACAATGAATATCCCTAAATCAAGCGAGAACTGCCAGAAGCATATAATCTACTCGCTCACCAAAGACCAGTAATAAAGACACAGACTGAGAGAACACAGACAAAGCTGGGTCTCCTACAGTTAGGCTACCTTTTTTTTTGTCTCCAAGATAAATTATTTGTCAGAGCTGTGTTATGGAGTCCATCAGAGGAGTAACAACAGTGTAATCTAGTCATGTCTGCAACACAGTGCTAGTCTGAGGAACAGAGTTGCCTGCCACCACCTTGAACGCTGACTGTATTCCCAAAGTGTTTCAAAGCAGTGTCAAGAGTGATTGTGCTTGTCGCCACAGAAGCGGCAACAATTGTAACTCTAGACAAAAAAATCAAACTGATTTGAAATGTATTTCTGCAATGTGAACGGCCCAAGAGTTAAAATCGCGTTCCTTGCAAACGGTGTTATCCAAGACCCAGCACTTAACTCCCACAAGCAGACCACTCCATATCACTTGGTTGTATGTGCCTGCCGGATCTAAAGGTCTTGTCTGCTCTTGTCTACCCTGAAAAAATGCTACTGCATAGTGACACAGGCACTGCAATGCAGCCAGATGACCAGCAGTATGGTACGGTGGGGAGCAGCCCTTCGCACTTTAAGAAGGTGAGAGCACCTGCGAGGATGTGTAAGGAGGCGATTTCTGCTCCACGTCATACGCCTTCATGTGCTATTAATGATTGTTACTGCAGCAGCCCTCAGCCAGCTGGAGGAAAAACCCACTCCTCTGAGACAGCTCTGTCTTCAGCAGTGAATACAGAGCTATTACCGTGACGAAGGGTTCCCCCGCTGCCTTTCCGTTCTGGCAGGTGACGTTTAGTCATTGTTCCATGTTATGACACCACTCTGCACACAGCAGCTTGACAATTAGCAGGCAGATTAGATGGAAGATTCCTCAAGCCATATCCTGACTGCAATAATTTCATTTGATGCAAACCTTTGATACAGAAATGAAGAACAGAATCTGCCACGTGTTCCCACCCACCTGAGCTCAGCCACTTGCTCTTTGAATGAGACAACAGATTTACATCCTCAAAGGCTGTCTTTGCATGCAAACTGGTAGGTAACTGGAGTCCAGGGACCAGCTTTAAATTTCCAAGTTTCACAAGGGATAAAATGGCCCCTAAACTTCTTTATTACAAAGGCAGCATGAGAGTGAAAGTTTCTGGAAAGCACACAGAACTACCACAAGCTACCTTCTGCACTAAATGATGCAGTCAAACATTACTTGAAATACTACAAGACAGCTGGTTCCTTTATGTGAAGGGGGGCTCTGCTCACTGGTGAGGAAACAGCTCTTTCACAGGTGGGAGAAGCAAACCACCATCTTTTAGGCAAAAAGGCCACCACTGATAAGGGTGACATAAAAATGCTTCTGTTGGAAGGGC